TTTTATTAAAAAAAATTATATTTGCATTCTCTTCTGTCAAGCTTCATTTGGGGGGAAAAAAAAAAGAAAAGAAAGAAAGAAAGGCCATTATTTTCGAAAAATTTGCGTTTAAAATCGATATAAAATCTGATAGCTTCAATTTAAAATGAATAAGAGAATAATTTAAAACTTCAAAATAATAACTAATATAAATATTATCTTACTTTATTTTTAAAATCTTTACTCATTAAACAAGACTTGTTAATTTAAAGATCACAACAACGGATTTTCATTTGTCCATTTTATAGCGTTGAACTATAAAATGAATGAAGTCATTTCTATAAATTTCTAAATAATATAGGTTTATTATAATTAATTTCTTATTTGTTCCAATTTAAAGTTCGAGGAAAATGAAGATAACAAAAAATAAAGAAAACCGTATTTTAAAGAAAAAATTAAATAAAAATCATGGCTTCTAATAATTATAATTTTGAAAAATGATAAGAGTAGGTAAAATAATGTTACAGTAATGTAAAATACATTGTTTTTTATTATTATTTGATGAAATATAGTCCCTGTTTGGTCGGGACTAAAATCAGTATTTTAGTAAATTTTGATAAAATTGATAAAATATGTGGTTAAAAAATTGTGAATCTTATTAAATATGTTGTTAAAATTAATTATTGACTTAAATTGCAGTTAAAATTTGAATTTTAATTCATACCAAACAAGGGCATAGTGTGTAAATTTTAGAAACATGTTAGGTTAAGATTGTTGGGCATTGAATGTTAGTTCTAAGCATAAGTTTGTCCTTTAGAAAAAGAGAGGCAGAAATAGCACTAACTTCGAGAAGAAACAGAGGTTCGTAGCAATTTTTAAAACAATCGTGCTACATGTACATCATTTTATACATTGTGGCACGTGGCAACACACGATTAAACAATCTTAAACTTTTGACAATTTTTTCACACAAACAACACTTGCCAACACACACAATATCATCAATCATGTCAAGGAAGAGCGTACAAGTGACATTTTCCTTTTTCAATTGTTCCCATGTATCACT